GAAATAACCTTTTACTAGTTTGAGAATCTGGAAGATACATATTGTTACCTTAGTGTTTTTCAAATCAAGAAGTTAAATATCTAAAACTTAAGCAAAAAACTAAACAAAAAAGTATAGGACTTACGAGAATTATGAGAATTCTAAACATTCAACCTGATAAAATAAATATATAGATATACTGTATTAATTTGACACCTTAATTATCATACAAATGACTGATAATAGAAAAAGACATTTTAAATAAATTGCTTTTGAAATTTTTAACACTTAGCTTTTACAACCATAATATAATGTACAAAATACTAAGTCATTAATCAACAAAAACATTTGACTATACAAAGTAAAAATAAATACTGCAACTTACCAGGGGTAAACGCTTCACTGCAGCCAGGTATTGTAACAGCCCCTTAGCATGATAAATTGTAGGATGTAAATCTGGATTTGGACTTTGCCACTGCCTGTTCAAATCCTCTCCACTTAAAGAACAGCGGTGACTACATATGTCAACACAAAGACAGAACAACATTGGTACCAATAAAGCCTTATATATTTATAAGATATATGATTTAATATTATGATTCCATTCCACTAAGTATTTCAAATAGGTGTAGATAGTGGCTCAACCGAATGCATATTATATTAAATAAACATTTATTGAGCATTTACTATGTGTAAGATCTTGTGTCACATGCAAGTAACTGTGGTAAGCTTTCAGATTTATAATCAAAATTTTCAGGCTACAGAAAAAAATTAATTCTCAATTATGGGGTTTTGTTCCATACTTCATCAAGTTTATTAATGGTCCCATTAATGGTCACATTTTCCATTCTAACTACATAATAATCATATGCTATACGCTAACATTCTCTACCTTGAGTGCATTCAATATTTTGTAAAAGTGCTATCTAGGCCCTTCTGAGAAAGACAAGTACATGAAAAGTATACATTCTTGTAAAAATTCAAATATACTTTAATTTATTCATACATACTAAGTATTAAAGACATTAAGCAAAAACTTAAGTAAACAATAAGAAGGTGACAACAGAAATATAAATACAATTCTAACTGGTCATTATGCTTCTGAATTTAAAGTAGACATTTCAGTTTCACAGCCGTAACATTAACTATAAAGAAATTCTATCTTTTTTAATTCAATAATTTCCTAAAATATAAGAAATATCTATGCTATGTCTACTGAATAAATAAGATATGGTACCCTCATCTTTGGAGATGCTCATCACAACTGGAGTAAATCTCATCTTTCTGAAGCACTACAAAGACCTTGTCAAACTGCCAGAAAAAATTTACTGTACTAACTATAAGCTACCTCTGCTTAAAAAGTAATTATCTTCCAGTATTTTCAGTCTAAAGAATTCCTTCTGACAGAAACTACAACCTCCTCATATCAGGAAGACGTTAGCAGATGGGGCTGACTTTCCATATCAGTGGGAAGAGATCCCAGAAGATTCCAAATCTTAGAAAAATCTAAGCTCACACCCCTAACAAA